GGGGGGGCGGGAGGGGGGTGGGTTGGAATTTGGGTGGAAAGTAAAGGATATAGGAAGCTTTTGAAAGCGCTTTCTTGTGGCTACAGCCAAAGGGGCTGCTTCGTGAGCTCTTAAAGAGCAGCTTTGGAAAAGGGTTTTAGGGCTTGAATGTACATGTTTATCCTGGGCAGCTGCAATGTGTGTGCTGTGTGTCGGGGCAGAGATGTGCCACGCGTGGAGTGTCAGCACAGGGATGGGCAACTCCGGGTTCCTGCGGCCTCACAAAGGGGCACAAGGAGCTGCCATCCATCCTCTGTTCACGCTGCAGGCGTCGTATTCTGTGTCTGTAATCATTTGGTTACTTAACTTTCTGTTTATGTCCAGCAAACGAGTGTTTGTTTCCAAGAAAACAGCACCAGTGTGTGGCGGTTTAGGCTGAGCAGAGATACTGCTAATCCACTCTTCCCAATGTTGTAGAACAGCTGGCCAGCTCACCGCCGGGACAGCAGGGGCCAAATTAATTCCTGGCCTAAGCCAGTAAAAGCTGCAGCGTGGATCTGAACCCCTGTAAGCAGTGGGTGTTGTTCTCCTTGGTGTCACGGGTGGGTGTGAGCGCTGGCCTTCCTCCCCGAGGCTGCCTGCACCCAGAGCTTCCTCCCCAGGCTCTGCCCCAGCTTAGGAGGGCTCCCGGAGCCCCCTCCCCGCTGTGCAGCCCGGTGGTGCCACAGACAAGGTGGGTTCTTTGTCCCTGCACACCCTCCTGCTGTGTCTCTGCTGGCTTTGGTGGGGTTTTCCACCTCTGAACCCTGCCAGGGAAGGACATCAGAGACTCTTTCTGTACCTCCTGCTGGTGGTCATCAGCCAAAAGGAGTGGAAAGAGCAGATTTCTCCAGGAACAGAACACAGGGAGGTCTTCCCATTAAAAATCCAGGAAGACACCCTGTGTGGAGTTGACTCCTACCCCATGTGTTCTTTTTGGTTGCAAAGGGTGAGGTGTTTGAACAGGAGGAGACTCAAGAGCTGTCTTCAAGAAAATGACCAGCTTCTTCCTCTATTAATAAAATAGGGGATAAAGTGAAGGCAGCCTTGATTCTTCTAAAATGTTGTACCGAGATCTTCACTGCTGCCATAGAAATTTTTGCAGACACCGGTGCCTACATTATTAAGCCTTTTTAAAATATTCATGGGGTTTGGGTTAGCTCTTTTTTTTTTTTTTAACCGTCCAAATCCAGAAGTGAAGAGTCAGGCATTGCAGTCGTCTTTTTGTATTAAACTTGTTTTTGTAACATAAATTTCACTGGCTTGGTGCTGTTTATTACATGTTCAGTTTAGCTCTGTAAAACAATATATGAAATAAATTTATTACAAATAATTTGTTCCCTTTATTTTTATTTGAGAGAGTCACAGGTTGTTCCAAGTGCTTTCGCTCGGGCAGATCAAATGGATCCTGCTCTGGGGAGATCACAGTTTCTAAGAATAAGGCTGGAGGTGGCGTTGGGGATTGTGTGACAGCCCTGAGGAGACAACCTGGATCCTTGTGACGCCCGGGGATCTCTGTGCAATAGCCAGCACGGGCTCACATGTTCGGTGGCAAATTAACTCCTTGTTTTGGGAATAGCTGGTGTTAAGCAGAGGAGTGTGGGGAGGGCAGTTAACTTGTTTTGCTGCCTTTTGTAGAGATTGGCAGGTGTGGAGGGCTGTGAAGCTGTAAATATTAGTTTAGTGGGTTGATGAGTCTGATCAATGCTTATAAATACTTAAAGGGTGGGTGTCAGGAGGATGGGACCGGTCTTTTTTCAGTGGTGCCCAGGGACAGGACAAGAGGAAATGGGCACAAACTTGAACATAAGAAGTTCCACCTAAACATGAGGAGGAACTTTTTCACTTTAAAGGTGGCAGAGCCCTGGAAGAGGCTGCCCAGGGAGGTGGTGGAGTCTCCTTCTCTGGAGACATTCAAACCCACCTGGACACGTTCCTGTGGGACCTGCTCTGGCAGGGGGTTGGACTGGATGATCTCCAGAGGTCCCTTCCAACCCCATGTCATTCTGTGATTCTGTGGTGATTATTCCTGTGGCCTGTAATAAAGCGGTTGGTTAAAGCAGGGAATGGGATGGTGCAACAAGTCTCTGGTAACTGGGAGGGGGGCTCGAGCTTCATGTGTTTTGTGCTTGTTTTCTGACAGGCAGGTTCCTCGATCGCTGGGTGTCTGAAGTCAAGGGCTGCTGCAGAAACTCCTGACTCCAGTCCAAGCTGCTGATCTGTGTGTTGTGGCATCCTCAGGCCCTGGTTGTCCTGCCTGCCTTCTGGGATGTGATGGGAAGTGCCAGGTGAATGTATGGGAAGGTTGGGAAGTGTCGGATACAGCGCTGGAGCGGGAGGGATGTATCTTCCTGCTTTTGCTCCCAGGCTGCTGCTTGTCACTGGACACGTCCCTTCCTTCCTTGTGTCCCAGGGGTTAATGTGCTCTCAGCAAGGCTGTTCCAGAGCACTGTTAAAGGGGGGACGTTTATGTCAAGGAAAAAGGCAAAAAGTCAACTCTTACACTATTTACCAGATCCCCGAGGTTTCCCAGGCTGCCTGGTGAGTAGAAGACACATAGCACAGTGTGTTCCCTGCCCAGCCTGGTGAGTAGAAGACACATAGCACAGTGGGAGGTTCCCTGCCCAGGGCAGGGGATTGGAACTAGATGGTCTTTGAGGTCCCTTCCAACCCAAACCATTCTGTGGTTCAGTGATCTCGCTGACAAGTCTGGGTTGTCTTTGGGGTCTGTTTCCTTGAGTGTTTTCAATTCCTCTCTCACCTGAGCGTTGGTGACTCAGAACGTGTGCTACTGTGAGTTTCAACTTCTTCAGAGTCTTCTCCTGAAACGGCACGAGCCACATCTGTGAATCATCACTGGGTAATTTCTGTGGACACGGCTGACTCACCCGCGTTTGGTTAGAGACATGTTTAATTAATTTCCTAACATGGGTCTGGATGACAAACGGGGAGCTTTCCACCGGCCCAGGAGGAGGTTGTCTCCCTGGCTGCTGTGGCCACCTCCTCTCTGGTGTGGAGTCGTTGCTAAGGTATGGGAACAAAGAGGGACACAAGGCTAAACCTCTCCTCTGAACCTGCATTCCTGTTCAGATGCTTTTATCCGGGCTGGGTTGCTAAGTTACAGCTGAAATATATTCAAGGTTAGGAAAAAGCTTTCAGTTTGGTGTAATTACATGTGCCAGAGGATGTTTGCTTTCAACCAAGATGCTGTGATTGCCTTCACAGAATCACAGAATGACATGGGGTTGGAAGAGACCTCTGGAGATCATCCAGTCCAACCCCCTGCCAGCGCAGGGCCACCCAGAGCAGGTCCCACAGGAACGTGTCCAGGTGGGGTTTGAATGTCTCCAGAGAAGGAGACTCCCCCCCCTCCCTGGGCAGCCTCTTCCAGGGCTCTGCCGCCCTCAAAGTGAAGCAGCTTCTCCTCACGTTTAGGTGGAACTTCTTGTATTCAAGTTTGTGCCCATTTCCTCTTGTCCTGTCCCTGGGCACCACTGAAAAAAGACCGGCCCCATCCTCCTGACTCCCTCCCTTTAAGTATGTAGGGGATCTAAATACTTAGATCAGATCCCCCCTCAGCCTTCTCTTCTTCAGACTAGAAAGACCCAAGTCCCTCAGCCTCTCCTCATAAGAGAGATGTTCTAGACCCCGCAGCATCTCTGTACCCCTCTGCTGTCCCCTCTCCAGCAGTTCCCTGTCCTTCTGGAACTGGGGAGCCCAGAACTGGTCCCAGTGCTCCAGATGGGGCCTCCCCAGGGCAGAGCAGAGGGGGCAGTGTCCCTGATGCAATTTGCTCTCTGGAGAGCAGAGAAGACCAGTTCCGTGCCGTGCTCTCTGCCAAGCTCCTGCTTGCTCTGTACAAACCGTATTGATAATTTCTGTGGCACCAGCAGTTTTCCCAGAACCCCAGGTCCATTCGAAGAAGAGGGGCTGGCTGGGTTCTTCATCCCCTTCCCTGCTCTCCTAACAACCTGCATTCACTCTATTGAATTGCTGAAGCCCCCCTCCCACTTTCTGGCAAAGTATTATGTTTCTATAAATAAATTCTCCACCGGTGGGCCCATAAAGCCATCGCATCCCTTTACTGTCAGGAAGGAAAATATGTACCAACAAGGAATCTAAAATAAAATTTGCCCTTTATCTTTTCATTTCCTGCTTCCATTTAAAGCCTTTCACATGAAATGCCGGTGTCTCCTGCTGACGTGACAGCTGATGCTGGGCCTGATTTATGGGGCGCCGAGCCGGGGCAGGGAGCCAGTTCTCCTGGAAAGATCACGGGGAACCGGAGAAGAAGGAGCTCGGCCACCGAGTCCTGCCCGAAGGCGCCTCCCGCCGGCCCCGTCCCGGGCATCGCTGCCCGGTGCCTCCCCCAGGATTTCCACCCCGGCTTTAAACAACAGCCTCCAGGTCAGTGCTGCAAAAGGTGGATTGTTGGTTTTTTTGAGCAGGTTTAAGGAAAGGACCCTCGCTACGGCAGAGAGCGAGGTGTGGGTCCTGTCCCACCTCCCTCCCCCTCAGGGGGCTCTGACGTGGGGACCAGACCTCTGTGCTCACAATTAATAAGCAAATTAATTTTGTTGGAACATCTCTGGGATTTGTAGCACTTAGGGCTACAAAGATGATGAGGGGCCTGGAGCATCTTGAGGCTGAGGGACTTGGGTCTTTTTAGTCTGGAGAAGAGAAGACTGAGGAGGGATCTGATCAACACCTATAAATACTTAAAGGGAGGGTGTCAGGAGGATGGGGCTGGTCTTTTTTCAGTGGTGCCCAGGGACAGGACAAGAGGAAATGGGCACAAACTTGAATAGAAGAAGACCACCTGCCCCGTGTCACTTCATGGTGACCTGCTGTCGGGCCAGATCCAGTGTTTACATCTCAGCTTCAAAACCAGCTCTGGGCATCCAAACAGCAGCAGCAGAGGAAAACACCCCGGGAGCGGGGCCAGGCTTGGGGGGTGCAGCTGAGCTGATCCCACATAAACCAGCTCAGACCCGGCCCAGGGATATGGTCCCTGTGCTCCCTCCAGGAGACCAGCTCCTACTTTGCCCCCAGCTGGGGTCCCAAAGGTGCCACCAGCAGCGAGGACACCTCGACAAGGGGTTGTATGTGTGTGTGCAGCTGGGGGGTGAGGCTCCAGTACCAGCACGAAGGGCATTTCCATCCCGGGGGTGACCCAGCCTGGCTGTCCTGGTGTCACTGTGCCACAGTGACGTGTCCCTGCCTCTCCAGGGGGAGGGTGGAGAATAAAAGAACAGCAAAGACTTAAGGATGGTCCAAAGCCTTTAGAGATGGAAAGGGGAAAAACCAGCACCATTGGCATCTGTGCGGAGGGGGAGGAGGAAGGATGGGCACAGCACAACGGGGTCATCGTTAGCCCCCTGCGTGTCCCCAGCAGATTTTGTTGTTTAATGTCTCGGGCAATTCTCAGTCCCACCAGTTTTATTCCAGCTTTCCCACAGATATAAATTTAGAGGTTTAATGTGAGAAGGGCCCTGTGCGGGTCACGTCAGGCTGAGGCTCGGTGGTGCTGAGGTGACCCCAGGGCTGGGGACCAGGCAGCCCTGGCTCCTCCAGCCTTGGCATCCCCTTCTGTGGGTGACAACGTGCCCACCCTGGGCCAGGCTGGAGAGGTTTGGAGCCGGGACCCAGGCAGTAGCTCGCGGGCTAGCCAAGGGTAATAATATCTTTGTGGCCGTAATTAGTTCCTAATTAGCATAGTTTTAATATGAGCCAGGATTGCTCTCCCCTTAGAGCGCTCTGCTTTTTACAAGAGGCTGACTAATTGCCTCTGCGGCTCTGCGGCCCTTCGGCAGCGGCAACAGGCCTGGCTGCCTGCCCGGGGACCCCCCCACCTGCCCGGGGACCCCCCCACCTGCCCGGGGACCCCCCCACCTGCCCGGGCTCCAGCGTCCTCCCCCGGCCTGTTTTAATGGAGCAAGAACTGCAAAGGACACATCTCCTGGCCCCGCAACACGCCCGACATCAAAATGAGATTGCTTCAATTAACACACGCATTAAAAATACACCCGGTACCTAGCAGGACAGGCCCCTGCCAAGGAGGAAGGTGGGCACACTGGTGACGTGCTGCACCCGTGCTGGGCTCCCCGGGGCTACAGGGAAAGTCTGGGTGCTCGGTCCTGCTTCTCACTGAGCTCGAGGGACCCCCCCAGCATGGTCCCAGCCCCCTCCTATCAGCTCAGTAACGACTGGAGTTAAAGCCTGGTGTGTTTGGGGATTGAGTGCCAGCTTGGCTTCTCTTTTTGGGGTGGTGCCTGTAGGTGTAGTGCCTGAAGGTGAGTGCCTGAAGGTGAGAATAAGGGATGTGGGGACTCGCTGTTTGCCCGTGCCACCCTCGGCATCAGGGAGAGGGGGAACCCGCTTGGAGACCTGCCCTGTCTGTCCTGGAAAAGGAGGAGGGAATGCCAAGACTAGCCTGATTTAGGGGGCGGGAGGAGGGAGAAGCAGATGCTGGGAACCAGCATGTTCCTGCTGCTGGGATGGTTCATGGTGCTGAGTGGTGGCACGTGGGGACCCCGTCCTGTGATGCTGAGCCCTTTCCAGCTGCACAGGAGAGGCAGCTGGCGCCTGCAGCGATCACCCTTGGCTTGGTATAGGGTGAGAGGTGTTTTAACCCTGAGACAGCTCTGGGCTGTGTCACCTGTACCCCTGCAAGCCCTGAAAGCCAGGGCTTCTGTAGGTGAGCCCAGGTGAGATGGAGAAGGCAGCAGCTGGGTCTGCACCAGCAGCCTCAGGTCGGGGATGGCCCTTCCCTGCATCGCTGGTCCCTTTGATGACACCCAAACCCACCAAAAACCCTCCATCTCTCACCAGGGTACGTTATCGAGTGCCAATGGAGGGGATGTGGCCGGGGGTGATGTTGTGGTGAGGGGGATGCAGCGGGGAAGGGGAGGACAGGAACGTGTTCCCCACAGGTGAGCAAGGCACCTTGGCTGGAGAGGTCGCTCAGTCTCCCCAGCCCCATGAATTTACACCTTGAATTTGTGAAGCCTCTATTGTGCTTTGCTGAGATTGGCCAATGGGCTCAGGATGTGTTGGCAGGGGATGCACCACGGCTGGCCTCTCAGAGTGCCCACATCAGCTTTTTTTACTCCAGAATCCAAGCTTTAAAAAAAAAGAAAAGAAAAATCCCTTTCCTGATCTAAAATACCTGCATAAAGCAGAGTGAAGTCAGGGCTTGGGTATCAGGGGGTCTTTGTTTCATCCCTGTCTTTAATCTCAGCCTCTGCCCCTGACCATCAGTTCGATCCCCCTGGTCTTTGTGAGCCTGTTTTCTCCCCTCCAGTTACTGAGAATTACCACATCCATCAATCCTTATCTCAACAGCAAGATTTTTTTCCCAGCCTCCTGCCGTTTTGTTGCAAAGCCCTCCCAGCACCTCCCCATCGCAGCCAGCGGGGCCCCGGCTGTGGGCACTGATTTACTGATCTCCCCTGGGTTATCAGTGGGGAATGGCCCAGGACCCCCACGATGGAGGCGATGAGAGTGGGCACCACCCCCTGCTTGTCCTGGGGGATGCCCAGATCCTCTAAATAATAGATGAGTTGTGTCTTCTTGGGATGAATGGGGCTGGCACGGCATGTCCAGAGCAGCCTGCCCTTGGCACATACCAGGGGGGATGCCTGGCAGTGGGTGTTTGTTCCTCCCCGTGGGTGGAGGGGGTCCGGAGGGGGACACACACGCTGTCCTTGACTCACTGGAGGACACAATTCAGCCCTGGCAGGAAGCTCCCTGGGACTTTTCCATTCCCCCACCGGTCCCAAAGTGCTGCGGTGTCATTTTTCCCCGCACAAGGCTGTTGGCAGGGTCGGGGCTGGGCATCTGTGGGCTCCACTCACCTGCTGCCCAGCCTTGGGCAAACCCTGGACTCACCCGTGCCTTGCCCCTCTCGCCACCCTCTTGCCATAAATAGCTCTTCTTTGCCAAAAAGACTGGTGGTTGGGTCTGTCCTGCAGCATCTTGGCTCCTCTCGCCACCTCCCCCCAGTGATCACAGCCCCTTTGCCCGTCCCCCCCTGTGCATCTCCCCAACGTGGGGTGCAAACAGCCCGTGGGTTTGTTTGCTGGGAGCTCTGGGTGTCCATCCCATTCCCACCACCAGCCCCCAAGCTTCCACCCCGGGGAGGGGGTGATTGATAAACACTTGTGGGGCTGAGCCGGGGGGGGCTTTTGCAGGTGGGAGGGTGGAAAACAGACCGGAAAAAAACAAGAGTTGTTTTCCTGGACGGATGATTGCACAAGGTTAGCCAGAGCGTGGCCACATTTTTTGGAAAGCCTTGCACACGGCTGGCCCCTTCCCCCTCCATCCTCAACCCTCTCGGCTTTGTTTTCCTTTAACACTCCAGGGTGTCTCTCCCCCACTTTAAAGCCCAGCCGTCAGCTGGACATACCGGGCGCCTGCCAGCACCGACGGCAGCAGTCAGGTGATGGCCCAAATGCCTGCGCTCTGCCCCTGCTCCCTCATTTCTCACTCTCCAACCACAACGAGAAGCAGCAACAAACCCAGCCCCGGCAGCGCCCCGAGCCCTCCATCAACCCCAAGCCCCAACCACAACGAGAAGCAGCAACAAACCCAGCCCCAGCAGCGCCCCGAGCCCTCCATCAACCCCGAGCCCCGACCGGCCACGTACGTCCCACAGGTGAGGTCCAGGGTGGCTTCTGCACCAGCACGGGCCACCTCCCAGGGCAGGGTGAATCCTGGGGGGGACACGCACGGGCCACCTCCCAGGGCAGGGTGAATCCAGGGGGGGACAATAAGCAGCTGATTTTGGAGAGGGGGTGGGATGTTATTTGGAAGGCTCCGAGACCCCTGTGTCTTGCGGGAAGGGATGGGAGCAGGGGGGACAGTTGGTACCCGGGGGAGGCTGGTGTGACCCTCTGGAGCATCCCAGGGGGCTGCAAAAAATGAGCCTGGTGGCTTTTGGTTCTCCATCGTGCTCGTGGCGTTGCTGGAAATCATGGGGAGGCTTGGCACAAGGGCAGATGGTGGCACAAAAGGCAGAAATTGGGCAGGGGGGTGAGGGGACCCGTGTCCTTTCCCATGGGACACGGTGGCAGCCCATCTCCCCCCCCCATGGCCCTGCTGGCAGCCCCAGGCTCGCTGTGGTGGCCCAAAGGCACGTTCCCGTGTCCCGCTGGGAAGCCCAGCCCTCACCAGCCCCTCACCATCTCCTGATGCCCAGCCCAGCCCCGGGGGTGGGCAGGGGGCTGGCAGCAGCCCCCGATAACGGGACTCCCACCCCTCCCCTGCCATCCTGCTGCTTCCCGCAAGGCAGCCCAATAAATCCTTCCGTGCAGCAAACCAAACCTTTGCATCTTCTTCAGGAGGGACCAGCCGTTCAACTTTAGCAACATCATTTTCTGTCAGGAAAGGAGGCAGAAGATAAAAGAGCGGAGGGTTTCTGCACGTGGGGATTTATGGCAGGAGGGTTGGAGCTGGGTTTCTTGCCGAGAGCTGAGCTTTTGGCTCCTGGCACGATGCTGCCCTGCAACTGTTTCTGCCTTGGGCTGCAGCCCAGGGAAGAGCAGGAAAGGCAGATTTGAAGGTCCGTTGAGGTTGCAGCCCTTTGCCTGACCCTGCAAACAGCCCCAGTCTGCCCCAAGCCCTGCCAGGATGGGCGCTGAGCTGGAACCAGTAGGATTGTCCTTCAGGCCAAGGTGTGGTGGGGCTGGGAGGGATGAGGCCAAAGCCTGAATGGAGAAGGGGAAAAGGGGAAATGAGCTTTGCCCACACCTTGCTCTCAGGCTGGGCTGGAGCTCGGTGCAGGAGATGGCTTTGAATCCAGGTCAGCTCCAGTACCAAGAGCTACGGCCATGCCATCTCTTCAAATTAACAAGTACATCATTTTTGTGCCTGAAGTAAAGGAAAAAAAATAATAAATTAGCAGCCCCCTGCAGAGCTTGAAAGCCAACCTTGCAGCAGGGTGATTTGAGATGCTCCGGGGAGCCGGGTCCCCCAGAGGTGAAGGTGTTGAATGTGATATATAAGACTAAGAACATGGGCCCATGCTGACAGAGCACTTGTTTTTAAGGTGCTTTTGCTTTTTAATGTTCCCAAGTATTTCTGCCAAGAGGACCCCAGCCCTTTAGGAGCCATGGGCTGTTTGTGTTTTGCCCCCAGTGTGTGAGACTGGGAGCCACGACGGTCCTGCTTGGGATGGGATGGAGCAGGCGGGAATTAAAAGAGGAGAGAACTTAATCTGCTTGATTTCTTTTGGCTGCCCTTAGAGTTGGGAGTAAAGAACCTGTTTAGCTCAGACACTTTTGACATTTGGCCTCGATGAGAGCAGGGCAGGAGGTGACAGTACCCGGCCTCGGTGTCCCCATGGGCCCCGGCTTCATGATCCTTCAAAACCCAGATCCAGCTCAGACCAGTGATGCTGCCGCCATGCACTGGGAGGGAATCTGGTGTGTTCTGACAGTCACTGGGGCGAAGAGCCAGCAGATGCAGATGTTTTAAAGTATCTTGGTTTGTTTGGTTTTTTCCCGGAGAGGGGAGTTCTCTGTATTTTCCTTCCCCAATATTTTCTGACTCATCTTCATCTGCAGTGCCTGGGTTGCCTTTTCATTTATTTATTTATTTATTTATTTTGTAGCTAGGGGGAAAATAGTCAAGGTTTCTGGTTTTGTTTTTGAGGATACAGATTTATCTGCAATTCCATGTATTTTTAGTGACGTAAATATCTTTTGACATTGGCGATAACTTGAGCTGGCAGAGGTGATTTATTTCAGGAGTGTCTTGTTTCAGAGGAGCTCAGAGCAGCTCAGTAAGTGTTTGCGGTAACATTTATCTGCTCCGAACGGACGAGCTGCTTCAGAACATAAACTAAATGAAAAGAGCCCCTTTCTCCTACTGCAAGTCTTGCTCCCAGTTTTGCTTAAGAGAAAACAATAAGAGCCTTATCAAATTGTGGAGGTTTTTTTTTTTTCTCCCCCAACTCTCTTCACGATGCCAAGGTTGCCAGGATTGTAAGTGTGTTATGTCACCCAAGTTTCAGCCTTGGACTGTCTCTGAAGCAATAAATACTGGATTGAAGTCATGTTGCGCTCCAAAGAGGTGTTATGATAAATCCGTTGCTTTTTGCTTTTCTCTCTCTTTTTTTTTTGTTTTTTAATTTTAAGGAGGGGAGGAGGGATGAAAAAACCACCCCACAAACCACAACCAACCTACAGCTTTCAAGGCAGAAAATCCTCTTTAGAAGTTGCTGCAACTTAACAAAATGTTAAATGCCTTTATTAACTTCTAGAAAAGCTCTTGAAGAGCTGCTTTCTTCCCTGGCTGAAAAGCACTCAGATGAGTGGCCTGGCTTTGTTCGTTCTGGCTGGTACAGGCTGGTAATTGCAGAGTAGAAATTCCTCTCCAAAGCGTGACGAAGGAATAGAAAAATGGGGG